GTGTGGATCTACTGGTGATGACGTAGGTTTGGAAGGGGGGGGGGGGGGAGGGCGGCACGGGCTTTGTTCTTCTAGGTGGCTTTGGCGAAGCCCTGCTCTACGTGCGTCTGCGTCTGACGCGTGCACTGTTTATGCTTGCGTCGGTGGTGCGTGTACACGCGTGGACAGGCGTGGGTGAGGGAGGTTGGGAACCGTGCGTGTGCGTGTGTGTGTGCGTGTGTATGTGCGTGTGTGTGTGTGAGTGTGTGTGTTTGTGTTAGGGAGCCTACATTACTGCCGGTTCGCTATGTAGGCGTGTGTGATAGGTATGTATGTGGCAGTGAGTATATGCGTCTGGGAGACGTCTGTGATCTCTGAGCGAGAAGTTGAAAGAATAAAACACTCTCAATCAAGACAAAAGAATAAAAAAAAAGGCTGAATATAAAATAAAATTACGGCCCCAGTTTACATCGAAAATTCGATTCTGCACATTGAAATGCAGTGATATGTGGTTGACGATGGCTGCTTATATAGTGTCCTCCCAGAGTTGGATATAGTCATGAGTGTCGGAAGCCCTCTAACAATAGGAAGTGCATAAAAAAACTAGCCGAAGAGGTATCACCTCGAGATCGATTCTGTCGGATCCATAACCATAAGCCTGCGACTTTGAGAAGGGCACTGACCGCAGGCGCTTATCGGCTCTCGCTCTCTGCTGTCGGAGAACGGCAACCACAACCAGTCGACTCTGTCGTTGCAATCAAATGGTTGTTGTGGAACCAATCTACGAGCGATAAAGACCAGATTCTTGGAATTATCTCGTAGAAGCGCTGGGCACCTCCTTCGGGGACCCTACCTGCAGCAGCCGGACGTTGCTTTCCGTCGCACTTTGGCATGCAAATGCACCCCCGAAGGTCGCGACATGCTAAGGCGTCTTTGTAGGCAGGGGACTGGCGCTGAAAGCACTGAAAGACCGGCCCTGGCGTTCTAAACCTGTCAAATCGTAGAACGCGGTAATTAGAAACAGCTTACAGGCGATTCCACGTCCGAATGTCCATCGTCACAAAGTGTCCAATATTGAACGTCTTTGTCTCAATGGGACGTTTCGATTTTTTTTCTTTTTTACATTTTTGTCTCGGCGAACATCCCACGAGTGCTACGTGACCCTTTTGGACACTGACAGGACGGACGTTTTGTCCACAAGCGCTTACGATTAATACGAGACGCTTGCAATTCAAAATCCTTACAAACAAACGGTGCTCCACCGGTGCGTCCGCACCGGAAGGACTCTCTCATCCCGCACCTGCCTCGGCTGTGGGAGAACGCGAAGCACACACCCGAGCAGACCCCGACTTCGCCCGTGCACCGTCACTAAGACGAGCAGGCTGCCTGGCAGATATCCCCAAGCTCCAACGTCTCCTGTGACATCGTCTCTGCGAACCTGTCCGGCGCGCGAGCAACGTCGAAGGGGCGCCATCCTCCACCCTCGACGACCCCTGGGACCGACCTCAAGACCTCGAAGCTTGCAGGCAGGGTATTGAACCGAACCCGAACCGTGAACCGAAAACCGGAAAAAAACGTAATTTTCACGCGAACCGCAGTTGACCCGGAACTAAATAATTTTTCTCGCTCCGGAGCAGAACCGATATGTTTTCCATGCGGTTTTCGGTTCACACGCGAAGGCAGGTTGCGTGAAAAGTGCGTGGCAAAAAACACAGTATAACCTTAAAAGTAAACCAGAAAATGAAAGAAAAAAAATATTTTCGCGCAAACCGGAGTTGAGTTGAACCTAAATAATTATTTTTTCGTTCCTGAGCAAAACTGATCAATTATTTTTGCGGTGTTTCGTTCATATAGAAAGTCAAAAAACGAAAAAAAAAAAAAAGGAAAAAGGTGACGGAAAGCTTTGTAACGTTCCATTATCAGGTTTTCAGATAACGGTCGTCTTCATAATTTAGGAAGTTCGTCTCGAGAACTCAGACGAAATGAGCACAGTAACTATAAATTCTCCGGGATTTCTGGTCTTATGTATGTTTTTACAAATGCCCACATTCGTCCCAACCTTTTCTTGGGGACCGGAAGTGGCTCATCAAAGAAAATTTAACACTAGAAAATACCCAATTCGTAGGTCAGCAAAAGTGACCAATAAATGAGCCTGATTGGTGGCAAAACGGTGAGTTGGGCTAGTTGGTTTTTCATCTCGGACTAAACGCAAAAAAAAAAAAAGGACAAAGAGAGGTATAGACAACACCCTTAGTGTTGTCTATACCACTCTTTGTCCTTGTTTTTTCTTTGCGTTTAGCTTAAGCTATTTTTGGTGTTTCTTGTCTTCAATATTCTAGAGTTGTGTGCAATTTACTTTAAACGCCTTGATTTCATTGTAGAATTTAACGGATAAGAAAGCGATACAAAGGCCGATGGATATTTTAGAACCTGCACTAGTTGCCAGACTGTGGCGCATCTAATCTGCTTTCAAAATAACTCAGCGGATTTAATAATCCATCAGAAATTAAAGTCTATACTTCGTTTCAGCTTCGGTCCAGACGCAGCCGATGCTACAAGCGCGAGCATGTGGTCCAGAACAGTGCTTGCACTGCACGAGCGCGCGTGCTTGGCAGGGATGCTGAAAGCCCGGAGCTCGCGCTTGTAGCTTTGGCTGCGTCTGGACCGAAGCTGAAACGAAGTATAGCACCGGGAAGGGAAGGGGGAATTTAATCAACGGTTACAGCTACAGAAAACAGCAAAACAGCTTCAATCTCTGGTAGCAGAAACAGCAAGGACCAAAACATTTTCTCCTCAGAAACACCAACATCAAGGCGCGCAGCTCTTCTGAGCATTGCTAGACAAGGAGCCGTGGCTTTCAAGGGACGCTAACGTGTTGCAGTTTTGGGAGGGGAGAAGGGAACGCCATCCAGAACTCTACCCATTGGCGCAAGTAGCCCTGGGAGTGCCTGCGACCCAGGTCAGCGTGTAGCGAGCCTTTTCTGCACTGAAGTTCATTCTATATCGTCTCAGAGTTGCCGTCTTTCTCCGAATATGCTTGACGACGTCCTGCTTCTTCGGTCAGCTGCCTGACATTGAACCGCGCTTTCACCCGCGTCCCGAGGTGCCCCAACACTAGCTCGTTCGTTCCACACAGTAATGCGAGACTTTGCATTCTATATGTAACACTTTTATAAAATATCCGCAGCTTATATTTTGCTGTCGTCAATTGTTTTTGTAGCATATGAGTTCGAACCGGTTCGAACCGGTTTGAACCTTTATTTTTTCACATCGGAGTTGAACCGGAGCTGAACCGTTTTCCTTGAACCGGAACGAAAACCGGAACGAAAAACATTTCGGTTCGACACCCTGCTCGCAGGAGACTTTCAAAGGCGGACGCGGTTGCTGCAGCCCGCATTTGTTAGCCGCGCCTCACACTGCTAATACATCATACAAAGGAAGACTGTCTGCATACATGTTAGAAGCGTACGTATGTATGAAGCAAACGTGTTTTGAGCGTATACACTCCAGGCGTGTCTGGGGATAGTTCTGTCACCGTGTCTGCACCGGACACTTGTCTTTTGTATGATGTCCGAGCAGAGGGACTGCGGCTTTTCTTCGGCAGCAAATGAACCTTCATTCCCTCATCCATCAACAAAGAGCTCGAAGTGTCTTTCACCCGAGAATATTTCAAACGAGTCTCGAGTTTTTTTAGTTACCGATCACCAGTGGCTCTTTCTCTCTCCATTTGAGACTTTCCCACCACAGTCCACAAAACGTTTCTTCCGTAACGTAAAGTAAGAAAACGGTGCTTGACCGAAGGCAGGAGAAGAGTGTAGCGCCCATTTGCACGTGCAGTGTTGTCCTCGCGCCCTGCACAGCTTGATTTTTCCGAATAAAATCACCCCCCCCCCCCCCCCGCCCACACACACACACGCATAAAAAAGGCTCAAGTAAAATGTTCGTTAATTCGAATTAATCAGAAAAACTCCAAAATTCGAGATTACATTACCAGGTATATAAGCAGACAAGACTTCACACTGATCTCGGCAGACTTACGGATCCGCGGTCATGAGAGGTCACATTGGTTCCCTTCTAAGCCCCGGACAACTAAAGACTTACCACTACAATGTTGCTGTGCTTCTAAGGAACAGGGGTATCTGAATGGGCTAGCTACTGCTTTGGTTGTCAGTTTACGAGGCTTATGAGTTAATACTATGTGAACATTCTACAGGAGAGGCAGGTGCTCTATGTTCATTCGTAACTATTATGAGTCCCGATATTTTATGAAAATATCGTTCGCAATTAAAATTGCTTTCCGTGTCCCCTTTTTCTTTGGTGGAAATCACATATATTTATCCATAGAACTGAGGTCTGTGGGCATGACGGAAAATAAAGAACCAGAAATGCCGAAAGTTTGAGAATTGGGAAATTAACAAACAATTAAATCGGATTACTACCGACTTGCGGAGTATAACTGCGAAGAACACCGTTCTAATTTAATCAAAAATGAACTCCGAAAACGCGAAACCTTACGCATAACGGTTACACAGTGGAACTGCGAAGAAACACGGTTTGCATACGCAATTCGCACGTAGCATCAACGCAACTTTCGTGCAATTTTGTATCAACGTTAAGCAACGGCCCTAAGAAATTGAAGAAAGATAAATTGATGTAAATCCTTACACCAAACCCGACGCTGTAGATTTAAAAAAAGAAAAAAAAAAGAAGCCATTGTCAGTGTTAGATACGAGTCACACTGTATCGAAATACTGTGGTAGCCGTTCTGTATATAATCACCGAAAGGATGCAAAGGGCGCCTCTCTCAGATGCTCGGCCTGCACTCCGCGCCAGTTGCTTTCCATTCGACTGCGCCTGACGCTCGAAACTCCCAAAGTCCAAAGCATTGTCGAATATTGGAAGCACGCCGGAGGCAGGACAACTGCCGTTTTTATCCTCTCTGCGACAATAGCCTGTTTCCAGGCATCAGAAAAAGCACCATGTCGCGGATAGAAAAGAGTCATCATAAACAGATGCCCCACCTGGGAGAATCGGGATGCCAGTACCGGACGAACATCTTTTCGCCGGACAACGGTGACAAGGACTCCTGGACAAAGTAGGGCATCCTGCTGTCCCAGATAGCCGGATCTCTTCCAACCACCAAAAAAACCGAACGGGCAGATCACGATGGTGTCTCACGTCATCCCCTCCTGGCCGTTTTGTTCAGACGACAGCCTCACCAGACACACGATTGAACGGCTGGGAGTAGGTAGCACCCACTGGACTCGGTTGATGACACGGACACCGAACCCTCCAACACTCAGCGACAATGTCGCAGAGTCGGGCACCTCGCGCCTCCCTGTTCAAGAAGCGAGAGCGAAGGGGGTGTAGCTGTCAAGCAGGGACGGTTGACTCTTCCGTCGCAGACGACACACCCACTCTGTCACGCAGCGCCACCACTGCAACCAGCAACTTCGTTCACCACCACGGCCAGGCGAGCTCACCCGGTCCAGGAGGAGGAAGCCACGTACGCGGAGCACAACGCATTCTTTGCCTCCCGCCGCGTCCCAGGCGGCAACTTGCCCCTCGTCTTAAACGCGAGAGAAAAATAATACCCGGAGCACGCGTCCACGATGTATCCGTTAGATTCGGCAAGGAGTTTCACTTTCCCCCACCGGCTTCCAGCACGTTTCCGAGATGACCTCGATGAAATCCGAGACAAAAGACAAGAGCAGTTTTTTGCCGCTTCGCTCTGCAAGGGACAGCTTTCCGATCCACGCCACACGCGCGCATGCACCAGGAGAAGCAACCGCCGCTTGCTTGCTCGCTTTCTTGCTTTCCCGCGTACTTTTGCCGTTGTTTTCATTTGGGACCTCTCCCCTCCCTTCTTTCCTCCTCCCTTTTCTTCTTTCTCTTTCCCCCACCCTTGCAGAGCTCCCCCCTCCGTCCGATGCAGTCATCTGCTTTTTTTAGTTTCTATGCTCCGTTCACGCCTATGCCGACAGTACGGTGGAGGCCAGGTGCTCATTGGATCAGTCACGGATCCATCTTTCGCCGCGTGACAACGCTTCTTTTGTCCATACTTACCCCCAGAGGGCGGGGTCACGAGATGAAGGGGAGGCAGGTTATTGGTCCGTCGAGCACGTGGGTCCCGCCGCACTGTCAGCTCAGGGGTGAACAGAGCATAGTCTGGGAAGCGAGTTGCCTTCCATCACCACAGCCACATGCACAGAGACGGCGACCCGCGGTGGTGCACCATAACAAGAAGCGTTCCTTCTTTCTCTCGAGGGAGAGGAGGAACGCTTCTGAATACACACACACGGCCCGGCAAAAGAAGGGGGGCTGGGTCGTTCCCTCTGGGAGCATAGAATGGTGGCTCCGGGGCTGGACTGTCTCCTCCCGACCAGACCATCTCGCCTGGCATTCGGGAGGAAACCCCCCACATTGGGCGCCATTCATGTGTAAATGGCGTTTTGTTTCTTTTCTTTTCGTAGCGATCGTTAATCTAATTTTTCTCCCAGTTCGCGTTTGTGGGGATGGTCACGCGGGGGCCGGCGAGATTATTAAGTTGGCCATTTATCGTCTTAGTCTTTATTTAGAAAAAAAAGAGCTCACTTAATATTGCACTGAATGTTAGCGAGTTCATTGTCTAATTACTGACTCAAAATGGACCTCGCTATAATTACGTTTACAAAAATATTGCAAATGAAAAGCGGGAATGTAAGCAGTACAATGCTCTCTGGGGATATTTTGACAATTCCATATTCGAGAAAGGCCGATGTTTGATACAAATACTGTCAGTGTTTTATTTTATTTTGTTACTACGCTTGATATAACAGCATTTCATACATGGCGCGCAATGACAAGCCCGCGTGTTGAAACCGTCGTCACCGACAACTTAAGAAATACGGGGCGTGGCGTCAACGCAATCAGGCACGCCAAGCGTTTTTGAAGCTGTCAGTGACGTCATAGTCGAAACCCGTCGGCCATGCTTCAGAATGGGTGTTTAGTTTCCCCATCAATCAAGCAAGTCGCGAGACGTGCCTGACTTTTTGAATTATCGCTGGTGATACGTCACGGCCGAGCGCCCCGCTCGCGTGTGTCATAGCGAGTGGTCACGGGATTACGCTTCCTCCCCGTGTTAGATTACGTCATCTGGGGCGGGGGGTTAGGAGCGGGAACGAAGCTGCTCGGGGCGTCCGTGGGAACCGGAGGAAAGGGGAGGCCGTGATTGATTCGTTGGCGTCATGCGTCCATCCAGCGAGCTCGAACGCTGTATTGTCGCTGAATATATGACTTCGGTGTATTCGTAACATTCTATAGTCATGCATGGCTTTGGAACTCACATGTTGTAAACTTGTGTATCATGTAAGTCGTGTCTAAATTTAGTGCAGACACCTCCGTCTGTCCGTCCGTCCCCCCCCTCTCCCCCCTCCCCCCCTCCCCCCCCCCCCCAAAAAAAAATGTTTATCACGTGATTTGTTTATATTGACGAGACCAAAAATCCGTGTCTTTGCATGACATCCCCGAATACTTAGTCTATATTGGCGACGTGCGCGACCGAAAGCGTCGCTGTGGTCGGCCTTCCACGATTGGCCCAAAAGCTGACTATGACGTAGGAAAGGGGATTTATCATCGACGGAAATAAGAGGAATGAAAGAACTCTAATTTCGACGGTGTTGGCAGTGTTGCTTTGAAAGCGCAATGATTTCAAGCTTCCACCATGCTATTTACAAACACCATCGAACTTGTTGTTCGCAAGGTAATGACGTCACAAGGGGGAACCATAGGAGGGCGCCACCAAAACATCTCGCCGCTAATAGCGGGGCGTCTATTAGCGGCGAGATGTTTTGGTGGCGCCCTCCTATGGTTCCCCCTTGTGACGTCATTACCTTGCAAACAACAAGTTCGATGGTGTTTGTAAATAGCATGGTGGAAGCTTGAAATCATTGAGCTCTTAAAGCAACACTGCCAACACCGTCAAAATTAAAGTTCTTTCATTCCTCTTATTTCCGTCGATGATAAATCCCCTTTCCTACGTCATAGTCAGCTTTTGGGCCAATCGTGGAAGGCCGACCACAGCGACGCTTTCGGTCGCGCACGGGGCTATACGAGACGTGACTATGTACCAGCAAGCTCACGTGCACCCAACACCGCCTTGAATAAACGAAGCCCGTGCACTCGTTTGACGTCATCATAGCAAGATGGAGTACGGATGCAGATCGGAGACGATTGCGGCGCCAGCGTTCGGCTGAGCTTCGTGTCCCATGAGAGCGTCGCTAGGGTATCTCGGCGTGGGGCTCGGGCCCAATCGCCGAGTTTGCGCCATCCGAGTGTGATAATGCGTTACCGCGGAGGTAGAGGAGGCTGTTTACAGGCTTTGGTTATTCTGTGTTGGTCCCCCTCCCCAAACGAACACGATACGGTTAATCTTCGGACCTGTTTTGAAGGTTAGAGGCACTGAAAAAAAGTCGATTGACGAAACTACTCTGGATGTCTGCTTGACAGTGGCACCAACATATATCACTGGATGGATGAATGGATGCTAACGGTTTTACCCTTAATAACGGGCGGTAGATCGCGCCACCTTGCCTAGAAATAAAAAAAAATATGCATGATGATTCTTCACTTTGCCCTTTTAAGCCAATTTTCATTCCCCTCATACTTTTCGTAACTATCACCAGGCAGTCTAAGATGTCGCCAGGATGCCTGTCTTAAACATTATATCGGTTGGCAACATTCTGGAGGGGGACTGTTCGCTAAATTTAAACACGACAGTGTACACTGTGTGCAGGAGCGGGCGGCGTCTCGGCTCCCGCCGCAGTCCATTTGAGGGACGCGTCAGAGAACCGGGATTTTTTATATATATATTTTTTTATTATTATGTTTACAACATAAACCGACACTTCTTCCGATTCCGGAAACAGGTTCCGAGGTTGACGAGCGACTAATCGATTCGCTAAATAATATTTTCCTGGCAGTTCACGTTACGCCCGGTCCCAGCTGCGTGTGATTATGCGTCTGCATTTATCCTATTGGCGTTTCTGAATTTATTATCTTTTGGAGAAGATAGTCGGGGCACGGACCTATCGGAAAAATTCAGAGACCTCACCAGCTAGCTTGCACGCCTCCAGCGACAGGCAGCTCGTGAAACGCAGGGCGTGCCGAGCATCACATTATCGCTTCTCAGCCAATGAGATTGCAGCATTTGCTAATACGGAGCGCAAGTTCGTCTGCTTCTTGTCTAGGGGTTGGGGTGACGTCAGAACGCCCAACCCTGATTGGCTGACCGAAAAAAAAAAAATTGGGGTAGACCTCAAAGTAAGCTGCCTTGAGGTCTACCCACTATCCTTCAATCAGAGCCAATCAGGGTTCGGCGTCTTTCTGACGTCACCGCGACCCCCTGTACAAGAAGCAGACGAACTTGCGATCCGCATAAGAACGTCGAAGAACCAATCACGAAGCGTGATCAGGATAGGCCACGCCCTCAGCTCAATTCTCTGACGTCACGCCACTGCCGTGGCGCTGCTGTCGGCTCTGCGCATGCGCAGATGCTTCGCCTCAAGCGAATCCGGTTTCTGCGCAGGCGCATTGCCCACACGCGGTGTGGGCAAACGCGGGCTTGTTTGTAAACAGTTTGTTGGTGTATAGGAAAGCTCGTAGCGTCCATTCGCTTTCGCTGGGCATGTGCCCGACTACGACTTTCCTTTGTACGACGAAATTCTATAGCATTCATTGATTCGTATAAACGAGCGTCTCACCACGATACGTCAAATAGACCGGATAAGTTTATCGTTTTAAGCCGTATGCGATCTTGAGACTTCGTTATATATGCACGCCACGAGCATTGTCAACATTCAAATGACGAATGTCCCGTTTTGTATCGTTTCGATGCAAGAACTCAATAAATACTGGTTTAATCTCAATCAGTCAGGTGGGACGGAACAGCAGTACATTATATCGAACCCGACTTCCCTCAAAAGCTAAGATGCACGTAGCTCTGCCTTGGCAATGCGCGTAACTATTAATACAGATTTCTGCCTATCCGGTATCAGGCCTCCTAATGCGCAGTAGGTATCCGCAGTACACCATTTCAGCTTACTGTGCTTGCATACGCGCGGCGCGCGCGTATGCGGAGCGGCAGTACGCATTCCTCCACATTCGCACCCACATCGAAGGACCTGACGACCTTGACGTTGTCCTTGAGGTCGTCTTAGAAGTCGTCCCTGAGGTCATCCTTGAGATCACCATACAGATCGTCGTAGGTTGTCCTAACATCATCTTTGACGTCGCCCTCTAGGACGTGATCCGACGTCGTCCAAAAGTTCGTCCTGGACATCGTCTTCGACGTTGTCCCCCAGGACGTTGTCCTCGACGTCGTCTTAGACGTTGTCCTTATGGTCGCCCTTGAAGCCGTCCTTGAGGTCTTCCTAGAGATCGTCCTTGAAGTCGCCCTAGAGGTAATCTTAGAAGTCGTTCTAGATATTGTCCTCTAGGACGTCGTTCTTGACGTTGTCATTGGGGACTTACTTAAAAGTCGTCCTAGAGGTCGTCTTAGAGGTCCTTCTATAGTAAGTTACAGGTTAAGAAGGTAGCGGCAAATGCCCCTCAAGGGGATTCATATATCCCTACGCCACCTCCTCATCCAATAGCGTACCATCGTTTCCGTCCAACGCGGGAGGAGGGTCTTGCCTTTCTGTAAATATTTGCCTAATCTTTCGACTTTGACAGCGTTGTGGAAGCCACAAGAGGGAGATTAGAGTTTTCCCGCTCCGATGGAAGCAAAAAAGACTTTCGGAAGTTAGATTCCCCCTTCGATGGA